TTATGGTTATGGATCAATAACAGAATAAACTACTTTAATTCTAATAAAACATTTTGTTTTTAGTTTTAATAATTTAGCAATTATAAAAAATATATAGCTGTTTAATTAGAAAATACAATTAAAAAGTTGGAGAAGCAATAGCAAATGTGCATAGTAAGCCAAATGCTGTTTTGTTTTTTCAATATAACATATTGTAAGGGACATGGGGGTCAGGGAATTTGTACAAAGTTGGTCAGAAGAAATCAGAGAAAGTCATGGAATTTAAAACAAAAATTTGAGTAAGAATCCTGTTTATTACTATGGTAACACAGAATGAAATTCTATTATTGTAACTTTGATAATTAGTTAGATATATGATAGAATATTTCGTATTAAATTGAATGTTTTTAAATAAATATCAACTAAATAAATGTAATCAATATTTATATAGAACAAATAACTCTTCTAAAGATGTGATTGTTTATTACTGTACCCATCTAACCAATGAACTTTATTTTTCAATTATATGATATAATTGTCTTTAGATCTCTTGAAAGCATTTGATATGGTGAATAACTATTTAGGCGTTTGCGTCAATGCAATTCAATAAACTGATGTAACTTAACCGGTTTTTCAAGACTCCTAATCTTTCAACTCAAAAAAGTCTTGAAAAACCAGTTAAGTTGCATAATCAGTTTACTGAATTGCATTGATATAAATACCTAAATACAGTAGAGTCTCAAACTTGGCCTAATGTGGACCGAAGGGTGGCCGAGTTTGTGAAAATGCCGGGTTATCGGGAATGGGGTTAAAAAAAATAAGTATGAGTGTTTCCTCAGAAAATACTGTACTGTACTTGTATGTATTGTTTACTTGAGAATACAACAGAGAATAAACTGCCCAAATACCCTTAAACAAAGGAAAAGTACGTCCTTTATGAAGGCATAGAGCCTTTACTACATGAAAATGAAAATTAATGAATACACTGTGTACAGTAATTTACCCGATAAGACAGACCTCAGAAAAATACTTTGAGGCATAAAGCTGTCTATAATGAAAATTAATTAACTAAGGATTTTTTTTCCCTGCCAGGGTGTGGCCGAGTTATCCGGACTGCCGGGTTATTGAGTGCCAAGTTTTTGAGACTCTACTGTATTGGTAATCCCAAAGAAGCAAAAATATTAACTAAATTGAATTAGTACAAAAGGAAAGATATTTATTTAGTTAAAGAATTATTTTGAAAAAAAAAAAAAATAGTGTAAAAGTTAATAATAATTATTCAATGTCAAATGATTGCCAGATTAAATTGTGCTATTTTACCGCTATTATTTTTAATTAAATTCTAAATCAGTGGGAGCACATGTAGAATTTAATTAAATGGTGCTGGTGGCAACGCGTCCGCATGGTAAGCGGGAGTTGTAGGTTCGGGTCTGACTCCAGGCCGATTCTTTTCTTCCATACTATTCTAAATTATTTATTAATGTTAATTTAATTTGAATTATTAAATTTAATAAGATATGGCACTCAATATATCACTAGTACCAAATTATTTAAAATTTGATTAAAAACAATAGAGGTGAAGTAGCCCGATTTTAATCCAGCAATTATAAAACAGCAACTGCGCACTGGGTTGTGTAAAAATAAATAAGACCTACTTGAACCTTTAACCGATGTGTATAGAAATTAATCTTTCCAATACGAACGTTTTCTTAGCCCCTTCTGGGCTCTTCTTCAGGTATAGCTGGATCGAACATCAAACGAAAAAATTTGAATACATCTGAACGCTGCTGAGTTTGAATCGCATGGTTCGTTCATTTATTTCGTCACGTGATAAAGTTTGAAAGTGTTCGAAGATAACGATAAATGTCCATATTCAAGAGAAAGATATTATTAGGATATTTAAAAAAATGTGCCATTGATACACAATTATCCAATAATGTTCTCACATGTTCCCCAGTACCTTTTATTTTATTTTTTAACACTTAATAAATAGTATACCGTTGTTACTCCGTATGTAGTGCGTTTTGCCATGCCTTGGAAAGGCTGATTTCGTCTCTTGAATTAATACATGTGGATGTGTCGTATGCCTTAAAAATTTCCATCTCTTCCAACCACTTTAGGTGATGAATATGGGGTGTGGTGACAATTACACGCGCTCTATTGAAGTGCGATTCAAACTCAGCAGCGTTCAGATGTATTCAAATTTTTTTGTTTGATGTTCGATCCAGCTATATCTGAAGAAGAGCCCAGAAGGGGTTAAGAAAATGTTCGTATTGGAAAGATTAACTTCTATACACATCGGTTAAAGGTTCAAGTAGGTCTTATTTATAATCCAGCAATTGTTTGGCATATTGAAAAATGTTCCTCAAAGATCAGTCCTGTATATGATACTCAACAATATATATTCAAATTTATTTTTTTTACATTATAATTTTGACATTAGCTGATTCTTGTGTGTTTAAAATGATTTCTGATATGAATTCTTTGTTGTTGACAATTTGGAATTATTTTATTCCAATCAAATTACAAGTAAATTATTTAAAAACTAAATACATTTTATACAAGAATAAAAACAAGTCCATATCTAACTGGAAAATATTGTTATATAACTAAATGGAAATAGAATTAGTAGGAGTGATACTACTTCACAATGTTTTGGAATTATTTGATAAAAATTTAACCTGAACTACACCGATGACAATAGAAGGAAATTAGCTGTTAGACATATTTTAGAATGCACACTATTCTAGCAAATTTAGATTAATTTTCACGCTTTCAGAAGAAAAACTGCTCGCTCTGTATCTCGGACGTATATCTAAATTGGACACACTTATGAAATTGAAAGATGTCCGACATAAATAAGTTTTACTGTATAATGTAATATGATTTAAAATATTGAAAATAAATATTTATACCTTATAGAAAAGTTTAAATCCAGACATAAATTTCAACAATCTTAAATCAGATTTAAACACAAAATAGTTTAACTATTAATAAGTCCATTATTTGTATGAAGATGAATGTTACCAAATTGCTTTGGTTTAGCTTTAGCTGAGTTTCTTGAACATTTTAAAAAATATTCTTGCTCAAATATTTTTAAGAAAACTTAGAGAAGCAGAGACAAAAGTTATTTAAATATATAAATGATTGAATACAAAACATTTTAATTTAGTATAAATTTGATTAGAATGAAGCTAAATCATCTAGTTCTGTTATAACTTGTTTTGTTTATTTTCTCACAAATGTTGGTACCACCAAGGATGAACTGGAAGAACTGAAAATACTAGGATTTTTTAAGTGCAACAATCTTTTCATCTTGATTTCCAAAACTGCAGAAAATGATACAGGAGAACAGTGCCACAACTAGCCTTTTATGCGCCCGGTGTGAGCTTCTGTAATTACGCCCCAAAACTATGACTGAAAACTTGGTCCAGGTCATTTCTGCACCCTGGTGCCTGGGCACCACTGACACCACCCTAGTTACAGCACTGCAGGAGAATAAAGCCATCTTAATCATTTTTCATATTCCTGCTTCATAATTAGAAATCATAACTGATATAAATGTATAAAGTGATTCATAAATTATCTCATTTCAAAATGTTAAATGAAAGAAAAGGCTGTTAAATTTGATTTATCAAATAAAAAATTAGTAAGAGAAGACTGCAAATAAAATACTTTTTTTAACATTAAATGCTAAATTTAGATTATAAAAGTCGGTTTTTTTTTAATATCGGGTATAGTGCCAAATTGTATAGCTTTGTGATAACATTAATATAGCAGTTACACACACAATGAAACATTTTCAAAGTTTTGATAGACAAAATAATAATTCAAATTTAAATAATGTTTATGATACAATCAGCTAAAACCCAAAACAAGTAGAAAGCTTTGACAGTAACTAATGTCAGGTTCTAAACTTTATTTTTACAGCAGTTAGACTGATTAACAAAAAAAAGAAATAAAATGTCTTGCCAGATTCTAAATAATGTTCAAGTGTTGGCTATTGTTGAATATGAAGATATTTTAAAAAGTTTGTGAATTAAATACAGTTTAATAAATTATTACAACTTTTGTAAAAAATGTGGATAAATTTAGTTTGAGTGTTTGCAATATCTATTATTAGTGTGTCATTAAAAGTAGTCAAAAGTAGTAAATTATTTTATATCATTTACACAACTGAGACAACTTCATGAGTAATTTGGAGAAATTGAGACATTTAAAAAGATTAAGGAGTAAAAAAAAAAAACAAAATAACTGCTACAGCTTACAACTACTTACAAATTACACTCTAGCACTTTCGGACTACCAGGTCCATCGTCAGGAGATGTACAAAATTTTGTACTTGTTTTATTTTTAAAGAACTTGGAGTCATTCTCACATTAATTAAGGAGTACACTTTTTATTACAACTTTAAATGTTTGTCGGGATTATATATCACACTATCGGAATCTAAACCTAAAATGGAACACCGATATCAGTGTGTTCTAACAGATCTTTTGAACATTTGACTGGATAAATCCAGAGCAAAACATCAAACTGAAAATACGTGAAAGTAATAATTTATTAATCATACAATTGTTAAAATATTATTTTAAGATATATTTATTATTGAACACTTAACAAAAATCTTCACACAATGAATAAAGTCTTACTGATTTTAGCACAGTACACTCTAATCCAGATCAGTTATTGTACAGGGTTGTTTAGATTAGTGAAAAATTTGGATTAGTAGTGCCGCACATAAATCAAAAAACGGTGAATAAATACATAATTTAAAGTTTCTGTACCGTATTTGGTACATATATTTATTTATTAAAATGCGTGTTATCTATTTGTTTTACAAATTTGTGTGTTTTAAAAATTAATTTGTTTTCTAGCTGTAATATTTAGTGACAAAACAAATAATTTTGTCTTGTCACTAAATATTATAGCTAAAAAACTAATAAATAGAACAATTTTGTCACTATTTATATACTATCACTATTTGTATATTTGTTTGTTAGAACAGGTTTATAAAGAATGTAATGTGTTGGTATTGAAATGGACTCTCGACACTGTGGCTTTCAGCCAATAATAGGAATAGAGGCCACTGCATCTTTTTGAAAGGATGTTTATAAACATGAATGTGCTTGGGCATCAGTTCAATTTTAGAATCATATGAACCTAGGACTGTTATTCACTGCTTTAAGGTTTCCAACATCTTGTTATTCTATATATATTTTTATTTATTTGATTTAGTTCCTTTATTTTTGTATTATTTCTTTTGGTTTTGGGATTATTAAGTTATTCTATAGTTATAGTTTGTCTGTGAAACTAATCAACTTAGGTCTATGGAAATAATCAACTGATGAACATCAGCTATTGATTGCTTAGTTGTGGCAAGTTACTTCTTGTTTCTTCATTTGTTAAACATGTCGCTACCATTATAAACAGTGTTACAGAAGCTTCATGTTTTGATATTGGAAAACAAAGTTTTCTATAGTAGATGTTAAATACATAATTATTTACAGTTAATTTTTTTTATAGCATGCATTAACACAATTAACGGAAAAGTCGTTCTGCCATCAAGTGAGGGAAAATAACATAATATGGTAGGCAAAGTGTGAATTTTAAGTGAAAAGCACCGACATCATTAGGGAATGTGCTGATTTACTTTAATTAACTGAAATGACATTATACGTGACATTGCTTTTAAGTTGATTCTTTTCATATACAGACTATAGTTGAATGCTATGTTTTTGTGAAGAAATTGAACTACTTTGTCTGAACTGTGTTGTCATTGTTCTGTGACAATATATTAATAATATCTCCTCCAGCTTTTTTTGTTAGTAAATTTTTCCACTTAGGTTAGGTGTAAACCTAACATTCTTTTAATAACATTCTTAATCATTTTAAATATGTTTAAAAATTAAAAAAAAAAATCAAATATATTGATATATTCTATAGAATAGTGTTATTTTTTTATTCTATTGTCTAACTCTTAGAAACTGCTTTTTTTAAATTTTTCATTAGTTTAAAAATAACATATTGATTATTCTTTCTGAGGACATTTTCTGTAATTTTGCTTTCAATTTTTCTGTATATTTCAAGAACTAAAATGTGTACAGATGGTTTGTGCGTCTGTCTTTATAGTAATAAACTAGTAAAATACCTAAATAAAAGTTGTGATATATACAGTCAAACACTGAGATTATATCATCGGTTTACGCAAAGACAGCATTAATGCGAAGTACATTTTTTTTTAATTGATGAAATTTATTATTTAACTTAAACTATTTTTCGTTTATGATTTTAATATAATCAAGTTAACTGGAATAGTTTTTAAATAATAATAATAATAATAATAATTTTAAATTATAATATTTCTTTTTATATTATTTTAGAGATAAAGAACTTTAAAACTGCTTTAAGATATAGAAGTGAATATTATACTCTATACAGTCTAACTCTGTTAATACAAAGTGGAAGGGACTTAAAAGCTTTACAAAAAAAAAAACACATCAACGGTCATACCATCAAATGGCAAAGCTCATATTTTCTTCATTGTTTTACGGTGCTTTATCTTATTTGGATATGTTTAAAAATAAAAAAATAAACTTGTCAGTTGCTCCAAATATATACTTCATTGAAACACAATGGCTTGAAGGAAGAATCAATGCTCATTTTTCAGTATGGATTAGAGTTGGTAGACTTTATCCCTGGAGGTTTATACCTCCAATGATAACATTAATATTGATTCCATAAGCATTGGGGTCAACATTAAAGTTAAAAACTGCTCTTAATTGTGATGAGAGTTATGTTGCCACTTTAGCTTGTGTGACTTTGGAAAGTGGGAAGCAGTGTGCTTTAAAATAAATGACATAATATAATTGTTATTGAATTCATGGAACCACGACACGCTTTGATATCATACAAAATATTGGTTAGCATGTAATACAAACTTGTTAACATTGAAATGTCTGTTTATCAGAATTCTTGATTCCACACAATATGTATTTAAAAATAGAATGCATATATAAATAACAAATCCCGAATAGTATATATTAAATTACCAAACGATTGCCTAAATATCGGGCTATAATTAAATGATTGGAATAAAGTAATTTGACATTAGAGGTAGGCGTTAGGTGCCATCACTTAAGTAAATTAATAATTAAAATTAAATAAATTAATTAAATAAATTTTAGAACCTTCCGGAATAAAAGAACTGGCCCGGGACGGGGCTTGAACCCGCAACCTCCGCTTGCTGTGCGGTGCGCTTGCCAGTTACTTTATTCCAATAATTTAATTATAGCCCGATATTTAGGCGATCATTTGGTAATTTAATAGAATGCATATTATTGTGATGTCATCACAATGTCATGCTGAAATTTTTAAGCATTTTTTAACTTAAAAAAATTACATGACTTCTGGTCCATTGGAAGTTTGTTTTATCAATAGTTAATCAGGGCTTCTGATGCTGAACTTTTCATATCTAGTCTCAATTTTTGTCTATGTAATTTCCGTTCTTGAGAAAATTTTGAAGTGAAATTGGGTGACTTCTGGTCCAATTAAAGTTCGTATACAGTTAATTGGTTACAGTTTCTGCTCTGTTTTCATCTATCTAAACCATTTTCCCAGATAAAGGACAGATGATAATGGGAATGTATGGGTTTGCAATATGAAAATTACAATCCAACAACAAAAAAATTACTGTTAAAATATTCTGAATAATGTATTATCATAAATTCTGTTTATAATGTAGTTATATTATCTGTCTCTCCCAGTTTAATGATTTATGCAATGTTAAATTTTGAAAGAAAGTTTCTAATTTAAAAAACCTGACATTTAATTAGAATTTCTTAATTATATATAATAATTGATGTATTTCTCATAAGTTGCTATTTACAAATTTTAATAACTTTTTTCAATTTAAATTTTTTATACAGTGTAAGAAAATGCAGTTGTTTTCTCTTGGAAACGTGACAGACTGGGCTATCAGTGGTGTAGATCACAGTATCGAAGGAAACGGTGGACCAGACTGTGTGAAGTATCTTTCTCCCAACAGAAGATTATACGAAACAATATTTGCCACTATATTAGCATTAATTTACCTTTATTGGGGCGTAAGAAGAATTCACATACCGGCAGTTCCAGAAATTTCAAAACAAGATCGAGGTGGCAGGAGATCTTTATTGATGCTGATGTGTTTAGTTTTAGGAATGGAAATTGGTTTCAAATTTTCATCTAAAACAGTGATATATTTTTTAAATCCTTGCCATGTAGTCACTATGATACAAGTAAGTGTTGTTTTTATTTAGATTTGTGTTTTTAAAGCTAACAGTCACATTCATAGATTTAAGCTAAGTTAGTTAATATTATACAGTAGACCCCCCTATAACACGGTAGATACGTTCCATGTTATATGAATTCCGTGTTGTATGAGTCACTTAAATACATTAGCCAATCACAGCCCGGCACGTGTGCAGTTTAGCAGCTATGGCTGTTTGCAAGGTTTTCTTCCATAAAATTAATCAATTTTAGACTATGACTCAACATTTCCAAAGCACATATAATTTTTCGGGAATAATCTGTATAAACTATGCTATAAAGAAAAAATTGTAGGATTACTTGCCAAGTGTGCACCATTCAAAGACTCCATTACTTAAGCTTGTTTTTGTCGTGGAGCAGCTCATTGAATGGCAGGCGCATGTTTCCTGATAAGTTATTTTTCTGCGAAAAATTCACTGAACTTTGGAGACATCATTAATATAAATATAATTTTTATGACTGTTAAATAATAAATGGTTTTTAGTAGGTCCACTGCTCATTTAAACTCAATGGTGTATGCAATGTCTGCTATCGGTCCAGATTTGACCAATCCTGTCGAGACACGAGTCGGCCGTGACAATCTGTGTCATTCTTTTACCGTGTTATATGAGTCTCTTTTAGCGTGTTATATGAACATGATGGCAATTTTTCTTCCGTGTTAAACGAATCCGTCTTGGAGCTTGAATAGTTGCATTCTGCATTTGTAAGAGTCTAGCCAATGGGGTTAAGGTGAATTTCTTGACTCTATGTTGTAAAGACTAAGTATTTGCTGGGTACTGTACGGCATTCCGTGTTTCTGATGTGTTCTTGTAATCTCTGGTTATAGGAAATTCACCTTAACCCCATTGGCTAGACTCTTACAAATGCAGAATGCAACTATTCAAGCTCCAAGAACTCCCAGAATTTTTGCTTTTGCTAAAACGAATCCGTCTTACATGAGCCCGTGTTATAGGGGGTCTACTGTACTGAAATCGTTGAGACACTTTGAATTAATATTTTTAAAACTGAAGTTTGATTTTATGCTTCTTTCAAAATGATATATTTTTCTGAAATATTTCAAGATGGCATTGTTTGTTCTTGACCAACAGGCTAGCCACATGAATGTTCGTGTTTTCTACACTTCTTTAACTCCTAAATTGTGGTAGTTTCTGATCGAAAGTCCTCTTGCAGATTGCCTAAATTTTGCAATGTTTACTTCTGTCAACCCAATTCAATCTAACACATCTGTTTTCATAAAAACTATAATTATGAAAATCTAGATTTTTCACCACTACTTCATTACAATTTTTTTCATTTTTGTAATATTTGAGTTTTAATCACAAACTATTAAAATTAGTTATTTCTTCTTGGATATAATACAAATTTTTTTCTTGGTTGATAAAATAGCAATAAAAATAACAAACATTTATACAAGTTTACAAGTTATAAATTTTACAACTTGATTAAGAAACATTCTTTATGCTCTTTTATTAACAATAACATTGTTAGCAAATGAATTAATAGTTTTATCTATCTTTAAAAGTGAGCTTTTTCATTATAAAGTATTGCTCTAACATTTGTCCTTATTCTAGGCAGCTTCTATCAAAGTTATATTTGTCAGTTTAAATCCTTCTGTTTTTTTATTTATTCCAGCAGAATGACTATATAGAATTTAATACTATATACATTCATTTGTACGAAGAATATTTTACAAAAGTTAATTTTCCATTTGAACCAGAAAGAGGGAGGTTATGAAATACCTGATATATTACAAGCATGATTGCAAAAGATTTATAGATTGATCTTTGGAGTAATTAATCTTTATTGCAAGCCGATTTTATCTATCGGTAGGATTCTGTTTTAAAAATGGAATATGTATTTACTTCCAAAGAAATATTTAGATACTTAAAAGGACTTTTTTAAAGAAATTTAGTGACCCATAGGATGAGTGTCACACTAAAATACTGTATTATGAAAAGAGAAGAGACTGAGGTCGATTAAAAAAATGCACATGTAACGCCAACCTCAGTGTCTTCTCTTTTCATAATAAAGAAATTTAACTTGTCAATGTATAAAATGTATTTTCCCAAAACTAGTGTGTATCTTATGGGTTAAAACCTTGCGGAATGCAGTAAAACTGTACTTATTCTTAAATAATTTAATAATTGTAGCGTTAGTAATGCCATTGATGGTAGTGAAGATGATTTACTGTTTGAAGAAAGCAATGACTGATTTAACTATAGAAGAGATTTCAAAAGTTAATTTTCCTGCCACTTAAAATGAGGATAAAGATTATCATTATAATCCTTCATTATAATCCTTCATTTTTTTTCTTTGATATGGAATTGTTTTAAACACAAACTTCTAAATTTGTTTTTAGTCAATGTATGATAATATGAACAGTGTAATGATGATACAAAGAACTTTTTGGGCCAATTTAATCCTTATAGAAAAAAAAGGATTGAATTGGCCCAAAAAAATTTTTGTATGGTCATTACAGTGTTAATATGTAAATAATCCTGATAAGATGTTATACTTACTTTCAGTAATGTGTAATTTTTTCTGAAAAATGACTTCTTATATTCCAGAAAATTATTGTGTATAAAATAAATACTAAAGAATTGTTTATTTGATTAAAATATTATTATAAAATTTTTAAACAGTTATTTATTTATTTTTTCAGATATTTCTGCTTTCGGTTCCACCTTCTCGTTTGGTAACAACTCTCTTCAGAATACAAATCCACTGTTTAAATGGTCCTCTTCTGGCAATATTCTTTCCAGTACTTAATACTCGTGAGGTAATGCATTAAGTGATAGGTTTAAAAACATCTTGCTATTGTTCATCCTTAAATTTATACAGTAATAACCTGCTTATTGCTATTCTAAGTGTAGTATACTCTCTTGAATCTGTAATCCTATTTTTATGAAAAAATATATATATGTAAATGATGAATCTGAACATGCGGTTTGCTTAGAAATAGTCATTTTTGTTTACTTTTACCTAGCCAATCAAACTGTTAGTCATGTAAACTCAAATCACTCATTAGTTCAAGTTCCTATTTTACTTTAAATGTTTAGTAATTAATACATATTTTCTAATTACAGTGGAACCTCACTTAACGAGCATAATTCATTCCAGAGTCTTACTCGTAATGTGAAACAGTCATTAAGCGAAACAATTTTTTCCATATAAGTTAATGTAAAATATGATAATGCCTTCCATGCCAAAAAAAATACTCAAATATTTTATGTGTATAGTTTATTCAAAGAAAATTATACAATAAACATTGTTAAGGAGTGTGAATCATCTTCAGCTTTTCTTCTAGCACAAAGTGAACCAACCTAGAATGCAATTTTGATTTATAGAAAACAAAAAATTAATTACTTATAATTTAATAATTATAAATAATTAATTTTTTACTTATACATTTTTAAAATTTAATTTTGAATCTGTCATTAAATTTAATACAAGATAGCAGCATAACTGCCTACCTCTAGTCAAATTAATTAATTTCTAATATTTACATAGCCCAAGAATTATGGCATATCGTTTGATGTGTTTATTAAATAACAGACTATGTTTGTTGTTGATTATATGTAATATGTCTGAACATAAGTATGGAAAAATATGTGATCACAAGTGACACTAAGATGCGAGTGCAAAACTTAGACTGATGTAGCATGTGCAAAATCCAGGATTTCTTCTCTCCTAGCCACTCGTTATGCAAAATGTTGCTTGTTAAGCAAGTCATTTTTTGACAATTTATTTTGCTCATTAATCAAGATTCCATTGCATATTATTTAAAATATTTTAAAAGGAAATTTTATAGTCAGAATAATTTTAATTAACATTTTTTTTAGCATACTATCTAGAAAAATGTTTTGTTTTGTAATAAATAATGATCAATTAATTGTGTGTGTGTTTAATTTTTTTGTTAAAAGTAAAACTTTAGGGGCATCCCAAACTTTGTGCCACCACAAGCCTCAGACTGTCTTAATCTTCCTCTTGTTGGTTGCAATTTATGCATTCTCCTTTCAAGTTTTGTAAATATCAAGCATTTCAAGTGCTTTGCCAATTTTGGGTTTAAGACCAGCTTAATTACAAAGTCCATGAATAATTTTATCCTGAAAGACAGTATTGTCTTACCGAGTTGTGAAACTGAAAGTTATATAGAATAGAAATTTTCCTAGGGTGATACTGATAATCTTTTGATTCTTGCATTTAGAGGTTGGAAAGTATGGACTAAGTAGATAATGCTGAAACATTCACTTTTTCAGGAACAACATACTTCCTCCATTGCTTGTTGAGAATTGCCAGCATAACTTCATATAAATGTTTTAACTTCTTACACAAAACTGGATATGTACAAACAAACAACTACACATTTTTAAAAACCTAAAAATTCCAGTAAATAATTTTAAATAGATCAAAAACGTTTGTCTATTAAAGTTATTATTTACTGGAATTTTTAGGTTTTTAAAGGTGTGTAGTTATTGAGAATTATCGTCATTATTATCATAGCATACCTGCAGAAATTTCTCACACCCCATATAGTTATGAAGGTTCAAATATTCAACATATCACTCTTATCAAGTAATATGGGGAGTTGTAGAATTTAAGCATGAGATATGATGTGTTTATTGCTGTCTTAGATTCTACTTCAGAAACATGTTTCTATTAGTGCAACTAGTTTGCTGCTTTTGTAAGCTTTGACACTTACTCTTTAAAACGCTTTCAAATTCTGCAGGTTATCGTCACAATATCTTTGTGGTCATTCACATCATATGTTATTTCTTTTTCATTTTCAATGGTATTATCTATATATATAACCCATTCAACTGTCCGTCTGTCCTGTAACCGTTTGATAACGGACATTAGAGGCGCCCCNAGATATGGCACTCAATATATCACTAGTACCAAATTATTTAAAATTTGATTAAAAACAATAGAGGTGAAGTAGCCCGATTTTAATCCAGCAATTATAAAACAGCAACTGCGCACTGGGTTGTGTAAAAATAAATAAGACCTACTTGAACCTTTAACCGATGTGTATAGAAATTAATCTTTCCAATACGAACGTTTTCTTAGCCCCTTCTGGGCTCTTCTTCAGGTATAGCTGGATCGAACATCAAACGAAAAAATTTGAATACATCTGAACGCTGCTGAGTTTGAATCGCATGGTTCGTTCATTTATTTCGTCACGTGATAAAGTTTGAAAGTGTTCGAAGATAACGATAAATGTCCATATTCAAGAGAAAGATATTATTAGGATATTTAAAAAAATGTGCCATTGATACACAATTATCCAATAATGTTCTCACATGTTCCCCAGTACCTTTTATTTTATTTTATTTTTTAACACTTAATAAATAGTATACCGTTGTTACTCCGTATGTAGTGCGTTTTGCCATGCCTTGGAAAGGCTGATTTCGTCTCTTGAATTAATACATGTGGATGTGTCGTATGCCTTAAAAATTTCCATCTCTTCCAACCACTTTAGGTGATGAATATGGGGTGTGGTGACAATTACACGCGCTCTATTGAAGTGCGATTCAAACTCAGCAGCGTTCAGATGTATTCAAATTTTTTTGTTTGATGTTCGATCCAGCTATATCTGAAGAAGAGCCCAGAAGGGGTTAAGAAAATGTTCGTATTGGAAAGATTAACTTCTATACACATCGGTTAAAGGTTCAAGTAGGTCTTATTTATAATCCAGCAATTGTTTGGCATATTGAAAAATGTTCCTCAAAGATCAGTCCTGTATATGATACTCAACAATATATATTCAAATTTATTTTTTTTACATTATAATTTTGACATTAGCTGATTCTTGTGTGTTTAAAATGATTTCTGATATGAATTCTTTGTTGTTGACAATTTGGAATTATTTTATTCCAATCAAATTACAAGTAAATTATTTAAAAACTAAATACATTTTATACAAGAATAAAAACAAGTCCATATCTAACTGGAAAATATTGTTATATAACTAAATGGAAATAGAATTAGTAGGAGTGATACTACTTCACAATGTTTTGGAATTATTTGATAAAAATTTAACCTGAACTACACCGATGACAATAGAAGGAAATTAGCTGTTAGACATATTTTAGAATGCACACTATTCTAGCAAATTTAGATTAATTTTCACGCTTTCAGAAGAAAAACTGCTCGCTCTGTATCTCGGACGTATATCTAAATTGGACACACTTATGAAATTGAAAGATGTCCGACATAAATAAGTTTTACTGTATAATGTAATATGATTTAAAATATTGAAAATAAATATTTATACCTTATAGAAAAGTTTAAATCCAGACATAAATTTCAACAATCTTAAATCAGATTTAAACACAAAATAGTTTAACTATTAATAAGTCCATTATTTGTATGAAGATGAATGTTACCAAATTGCTTTGGTTTAGCTTTAGCTGAGTTTCTTGAACATTTTAAAAAATATTCTTGCTCAAATATTTTTAAGAAAACTTAGAGAAGCAGAGACAAAAGTTATTTAAATATATAAATGATTGAATACAAAACATTTTAATTTAGTATAAATTTGATTAGAATGAAGCTAAATCATCTAGTTCTGTTATAACTTGTTTTGTTTATTTTCTCACAAATGTTGGTACCACCGAGGATGAACTGGAAGAACTGAAAATACTAGGATTTTTTAAGTGCAACAATCTTTTCATCTTGATTTCCAAAACTGCAGAAAATGATACAGGAGAACAGTGCCGCAACTAGCCTTTTATGCGCCCGGTGTGAGCTTCTGTAATTACGCCCCAAAACTATGACTGAAAACTTGGTCCAGGTCATTTCTGCACCCTGGTGCCTGGGCACCACTGACACCACCCTAGTTACAGCACTGCAGGAGAATAAAGCCATCTTAATCATTTTTCATATTCCTGCTTCATAATTAGAAATCATAACTGATATAAATGTATAAAGTGATTCATAAATTATCTCATTTCAAAATGTTAAATGAAAGAAAAGGCTGTTAAATTTGATTTATCAAATAAAAAATTAGTAAGAGAAGACTGCAAATAAAATACTTTTTTTAACATTAAATGCTAAATTTAGATTATAAAAGTCGGTTTTTTTTTAATATCGGGTATAGTGCCAAATTGTATAGCTTTGTGATAACATTAATATAGCAGTTACACACACAATGAAACATTTTCAAAGTTTTGATAGACAAAATAATAATTCAAATTTAAATAATGTTTATGATACAATCAGCTAAAACCCAAAACAAGTAGAAAGCTTTGACAGTAACTAATGTCAGGTTCTAAACTTTATTTTTACAGCAGTTAGACTGATTAACAAAAAAAAGAAATAAAATGTCTTGCCAGATTCTAAATAATGTTCAAGTGTTGGCTATTGTTGAATATGAAGATATTTTAAAAAGTTTGTGAATTAAATACAGTTTAATAAATTATTACAACTTTTGTAAAAAATGTGGATAAATTTAGTTTGAGTGTTTGCAATATCTATTATTAGTGTGTCATTAAAAGTAGTCAAAAGTAGTAAATTATTTTATATCATTTACACAACTGAGACAACTTCATGAGTAATTTGGAGAAATTGAGACATTTAAAAAGATTAAGGAGTAAAAAAAAAAAACAAAATAACTGCTACAGCTTACAACTACTTACAAATTACACTCTAGCACTTTCGGACTACCAGGTCCATCGTCAGGAGATGTACAAAATTTTGTACTTGTTTTATTTTTAAAGAACTTGGAGTCATTCTCACATTAATTAAGGAGTACACTTTTTATTACAACTTTAAATGTTTGTCGGGATTATATATCACACTATCGGAATCTAAACCTAAAATGGAACACCGATATCAGTGTGTTCTAACAGATCTTTTGAACATTTGACTGGATAAATCCAGAGCAAAACATCAAACTGAAAATACGTGAAAGTAATAATTTATTAATCATACAATTGTTAAAATATTATTTTAAGATATATTTATTATTGAACACTTAACAAAAATCTTCACACAATGAATAAAGTCTTACTGATTTTAGCACAGTACACTCTAATCCAGATCAATTATTGTACAGGGTTGTTTAGATTAGTGAAAAATTTGGATTAGTAGTGCCGCACATAAATCAAAAAACGGTGAATAAATACATAATTTAAAGTTTCTGTACCGTATTTGGTACATATATTTATTTATTAAAATGCGTGTTATCTATTTGTTTTACAAATTTGTGTGTTTTAAAAATTAATTTGTTTTCTAGCTGTAATATTTAGTGACAAAACAAATAATTTTGTCTTGTCACTAAATATTATAGCTAAAAAACTAATAAATAGAACAATTTTGTCACTATTTATATACTATCACTATTTGTATATTTGTTTGTTAGAACAGGTTTATAAAGAATGTAATGTGTTGGTATTGAAATGGACTCTCGACACTGTGGCTTTCAGCCAATAATAGGAATAGAGGCCACTGCATCTTTTTGAAAGGATGTTTATAAACATGAATGTGCTTGGGCATCAGTTCAATTTTAGAATCATATGAACCTAGGACTGTTATTCACTGCTTTAAGGTTTCCAACATCTTGTTATTCTATATATATTTTTATTTATTTGATTTAGTTCCTTTATTTTTGTATTATTTCTTTTGGTTTTGGGATTATTAAGTTATTCTATAGTTATAGTTTGTCTGTGAAACTAATCAACTTAGGTCTATGGAAATAATCAACTGATGAACATCAGCTATTGATTGCTTAGTTGTGGCAAGTTACTTCTTGTTTCTTCATTTGTTAAACATGTCGCTACCATTATAAACAGTGTTACAGAAGCTTCATGTTTTGATATTGGAAAACAAAGTTTTCTATAGTAGATGTTAAATACATAATTATTTACAGTTAATTTTTTTTATAGCATGCATTAACACAATTAACGGAAAAGTCGTTCTGCCATCAAGTGAGGGAAAATAACATAATATGGTAGGCAAAGTGTGAATTTTAAGTGAAAAGCACCGACATCATTAGGGAATGTGCTGATTTACTTTAATTAACTGAAATGACATTATACGTGACATTGCTTTTAAGTTGATTCTTTTCATATACAGACTATAGTTGAATGCTATGTTTTTGTGAAGAAATTGAACTACTTTGTCTGAACTGTGTTGTCATTGTTCTGTGACAATATATTAATAATATCTCCTCCAGCTTTTTTTGTTAGTAAATTTTTCCACTTAGGTTAGGTGTAAACCTAACATTCTTTTAATAACATTCTTAATCATTTTAAATATGTTTAAAAATTAAAAAAAAAAATCAAATATATTGATATATTCTATAGAATAGTGTTATTTTTTTATTCTATTGTCTAACTCTTAGAAACTGCTTTTTTTAAATTTTTCATTAGTTTAAAAATAACATATTGATTATTCTTTCTGAGGACATTTTCTGTAATTTTGCTTTCAATTTTTCTGTATATTTCAAGAACTAAAATGTGTACAGATGGTTTGTGCGTCTGTCTTTATAGTAATAAACTAGTAAAATACCTAAATAAAAGTTGTGATATATACAGTCAAACACTGAGATTATATCATCGGTTTACGCAAAGACAGCATTAATGCGAAGTACATTTTTTTTTAATTGATGAAATTTATTATTTAACTTAAACTATTTTTCGTTTATGATTTTAATATAATCAAGTTAACTGGAATAGTTTTTAAATAATAATAATAATAATAATAATTTTAAATTATAATATTTCTTTTTATATTATTTTAGAGATAAAGAACTTTAAAACTGCTTTAAGATATAGAAGTGAATATTATACTCTATACAGTCTAACTCTGTTAATACAAAGTGGAAGGGACTTAAAAGCTTTACAAAAAAAAAAACACATCAACGGTCATACCATCAAATGGCAAAGCTCATATTTTCTTCATTGTTTTACGGTGCTTTATCTTATTTGGATATGTTTAAAAATAAAAAAATAAACTTGTCAGTTGCTCCAAATATATACTTCATTGAAACACAATGGCTTGAAGGAAGAATCAATGCTCATTTTTCAGTATGGATTAGAGTTGGTAGACTTTATCCCTGGAGGTTTATACCTCCAATGATAACATTAATATTGATTCCATAAGCATTGGGGTCAACATTAAAGTTAAAAACTGCTCTTAATTGTGATGAGAGTTATGTTGCCACTTTAGCTTGTGTGACTTTGGAAAGTGGGAAGCAGTGTGCTTTAAAATAAATGACATAATATAATTGTTATTGAATTCATGGAACCACGACACGCTTTGATATCATACAAAATATTGGTTAGCATGTAATACAAACTTGTTAACATTGAAATGTCTGTTTATCAGAATTCTTGATTCCACACAATATGTATTTAAAAATAGAATGCATATATAAATAACAAATCCCGAATAGTATATATTAAATTACCAAACGATTGCCTAAATATCGGGCTATAATTAAATGATTGGAATAAAGTAATTTGACATTAGAGGTAGGCGTTAGGTGCCATCACTTAAGTAAATTAATAATTAAAATTAAATAAATTAATTAAATAAATTTTAGAACCTTCCGGAATAAAAGAACTGGCCCGGGACGGGGCTTGAACCCGCAACCTCCGCTTGCTGTGCGGTGCGCTTGCCAGTTACTTTATTCCAATAATTTAATTATAGCCCGATATTTAGGCGATCATTTGGTAATTTAATAGAATGCATATTATTGTGATGTCATCACAATGTCATGCTGAAATTTTTAAGCATTTTTTAACTTAAAAAAATTACATGACTTCTGGTCCATTGGAAGTTTGTTTTATCAATAGTTAATCAGGGCTTCTGATGCTGAACTTTTCATATCTAGTCTCAATTTTTGTCTATGTAATTTCCGTTCTTGAGAAAATTTTGAAGTGAAATTGGGTGACTTCTGGTCCAATTAAAGTTCGTATACAGTTAATTGGTTACAGTTTCTGCTCTGTTTTCATCTATCTAAACCATTTTCCCAGATAAAGGACAGATGATAATGGGAATGTATGGGTTTGCAATATGAAAATTACAATCCAACAACAAAAAAATTACTGTTAAAATATTCTGAATAATGTATTATCATAAATTCTGTTTATAATGTAGTTATATTATCTGTCTCTCCCAGTTTAATGATTTATGCAATGTTAAATTTTGAAAGAAAGTTTCTAATTTAAAAAACCTGACATTTAATTAGAATTTCTTAATTATATATAATAATTGATGTATTTCTCATAAGTTGCTATTTACAAATTTTAATAACTTTTTTCAATTTAAATTTTTTATACAGTGTAAGAAAATGCAGTTGTTTTCTCTTGGAAACGTGACAGACTGGGCTATCAGTGGTGTAGATCACAGTATCGAAGGAAACGGTGGACCAGACTGTGTGAAGTATCTTTCTCCCAACAGAAGATTATACGAAACAATATTTGCCACTATATTAGCATTAATTTACCTTTATTGGGGCGTAAGAAGAATTCACATACCGGCAGTTCCAGAAATTTCAAAACAAGATCGAGGTGGCAGGAGATCTTTATTGATGCTGATGTGTTTAGTTTTAGGAATGGAAATTGGTTTCAAATTTTCATCTAAAACAGTGATATATTTTTTAAATCCTTGCCATGTAGTCACTATGATACAAGTAAGTGTTGTTTTTATTTAGATTTGTGTTTTTAAAGCTAACAGTCACATTCATAGATTTAAGCTAAGTTAGTTAATATTATACAGTAGACCCCCCTATAACACGGTAGATACGTTCCATGTTATATGAATTCCGTGTTGTATGAGTCACTTAAATACATTAGCCAATCACAGCCCGGCACGTGTGCAGTTTAGCAGCTATGGCTGTTTGCAAGGTTTTCTTCCATAAAATTAATCAATTTTAGACTATGACTCAACATTTCCAAAGCACATATAATTTTTCGGGAATAATCTGTATAAACTATGCTATAAAGAAAAAATTGTAGGATTACTTGCCAAGTGTGCACCATTCAAAGACTCCATTACTTAAGCTTGTTTTTGTCGTGGAGCAGCTCATTGAATGGCAGGCGCATGTTTCCTGATAAGTTATTTTTCTGCGAAAAATTCACTGAACTTTGGAGACATCATTAATATAAATATAATTTTTATGACTGTTAAATAATAAATGGTTTTTAGTAGGTCCACTGCTCATTTAAACTCAATGGTGTATGCAATGTCTGCTATCGGTCCAGATTTGACCAATCCTGTCGAGACACGAGTCGGCCGTGACAATCTGTGTCATTCTTTTACCGTGTTATATGAGTCTCTTTTAGCGTGTTATATGAACATGATGGCAATTTTTCTTCCGTGTTAAACGAATCCGTCTTGGAGCTTGAATAGTTGCATTCTGCATTTGTAAGAGTCTAGCCAATGGGGTTAAGGTGAATTTCTTGACTCTATGTTGTAAAGACTAAGTATTTGCTGGGTACTGTACGGCATTCCGTGTTTCTGATGTGTTCTTGTAATCTCTGGTTATAGGAAATTCACCTTAACCCCATTGGCTAGACTCTTACAAATGCAGAATGCAACTATTCAAGCTCCAAGAACTCCCAGAATTTTTGCTTTTGCTAAAACGAATCCGTCTTACATGAGCCCGTGTTATAGGGGGTCTACTGTACTGAAATCGTTGAGACACTTTGAATTAATATTTTTAAAACTGAAGTTTGATTTTATGCTTCTTTCAAAATGATATATTTTTCTGAAATATTTCAAGATGGCATTGTTTGTTCTTGACCAACAGGCTAGCCACATGAATGTTCGTGTTTTCTACACTTCTTTAACTCCTAAATTGTGGTAGTTTCTGATCGAAAGTCCTCTTGCAGATTGCCTAAATGTTGCAATGTTTACTTCTGTCAACCCAATTCAATCTAACACATCTGTTTTCATAAAAACTATAATTATGAAAATCTAGATTTTTCACCACTACTTCATTACAATTTTTTTCATTTTTGTAATATTTGAGTTTTAATCACAAACTATTAAAATTAGTTATTTCTTCTTGGATAAAATACAAATTTTTTTCTTGGTTGATAAAATAGCAATAAAAATAACAAACATTTATACAAGTTTACAAGTTATAAATTTTACAACTTGATTAAGAAACATTCTTTATGCTCTTTTATTAACAATAACATTGTTAGCAAATGAATTAATAGTTTTATCTATCTTTAAAAGTGAGCTTTTTCATTATAAAGTATTGCTCTAACATTTGTCCTTATTCTAGGCAGCTTCTATCAAAGTTATATTTGTCAGTTTAAATCCTTCTGTTTTTTTATTTATTCCAGCAGAATGACTATATAGAATTTAATACTATATACATTCATTTGTACGAAGAATATTTTACAAAAGTTAATTTTCCATTTGAACCAGAAAGAGGGAGGTTATGAAATACCTGATATATTACAAGCATGATTGCAAAAGATTTATAGATTGATCTTTGGAGTAATTAATCTTTATTGCAAGCCGATTTTATCTATCGGTAGGATTCTGTTTTAAAAATGGAATATGTATTTACTTCCAAAGAAATATTTAGATACTTAAAAGGACTTTTTTAAAGAAATTTAGTGACCCATAGGATGAGTGTCACACTAAAATACTGTATTATGAAAAGAGAAGAGACTGAGGTCGATTAAAAAAATGCACATGTAACGCCAACCTCAGTGTCTTCTCTTTTCATAATAAAGAAATTTAACTTGTCAATGTATAAAATGTATTTTCCCAAAACTAGTGTGTATCTTATGGGTTAAAACCTTGCGGAATGCAGTAAAACTGTACTTATTCTTAAATAATTTAATAATTGTAGCGTTAGTAATGCCATTGATGGTAGTGAAGATGATTTACTGTTTGAAGAAAGCAATGACTGATTTAACTATAGAAGAGATTTCAAAAGTTAATTTTCCTGCCACTTAAAATGAGGATAAAGATTATCATTATAATCCTTCATTATAATCCTTCATTTTTTTTCTTTGATATGGAATTGTTTTAAACACAAACTTCTAAATTTGTTTTTAGTCAATGTATGATAATATGAACAGTGTAATGATGATACAAAGAACTTTTTGGGCCAATTTAATCCTTATAGAAAAAAAAGGATTGAATTGGCCCAAAAAAAAATTTTGTATGGTCATTACAGTGTTAATATGTAAATAATCCTGATAAGATGTTATACTTACTTTCAGTAATGTGTAATTTTTTCTGAAAAATGACTTCTTATATTCCAGAAAATTATTGTGTATAAAATAAATACTAAAGAATTGTTTATTTGATTAAAATATTATTATAAAATTTTTAAACAGTTATTTATTTATTTTTTCAGATATTTCTGCTTTCGGTTCCACCTTCTCGTTTGGTAACAACTCTCTTCAGAATACAAATCCACTGTTTAAATGGTCCTCTTCTGGCAATATTCTTTCCAGTACTTAATACTCGTGAGGTAATGCATTAAGTGATAGGTTTAAAAACATCTTGCTATTGTTCATCCTTAAATTTATACAGTAATAACCTGCTTATTGCTATTCTAAGTGTAGTATACTCTCTTGAATCTGTAATCCTATTTTTATGAAAAAATATATATATGTAAATGATGAATCTGAACATGCGGTTTGCTTAGAAATAGTCATTTTTGTTTACTTTTACCTAGCCAATCAAACTGTTAGTCATGTAAACTCAAATCACTCATTAGTTCAAGTTCCTATTTTACTTTAAATGTTTAGTAATTAATACATATTTTCTAATTACAGTGGAACCTCACTTAACGAGCATAATTCATTCCAGAGTCTTACTCGTAATGTGAAACAGTCATTAAGCGAAATAATNTTTTCTGTATCATTTCATTTTGCTTCAGATTTTGGGAAATTTAAAAATTATATTATTATAATTTTAATTTAATTACAGGTATACCTCGAGTTACGTCGTTCTCGATTATACATCGCTTGTCAAAAAATATATAGAAAAATAAAAATTGAGTTTGTCATTTTATTCGACTTTACGTCTGTCTGCCACAAATATTGAAGTTGTTATATCACTAGAAAAGCGTTAAAACACACTAAATCATATTAAAATATGTACATTTACAGTAAATGTTAATATAATTATCATAAATCTTAGAGAATGAAACATGAAAACATCTGTGTTTCTGTGTTGTCTTATTTAGCGGTCTTTAAGAGCTTAGTATTGGCATTTTCTACAGTAGTACCAATATCTAATGTTTAGCATCGTTGTCAGCGCCACTCGATATTGGTAAATTTAATATAAATTACCATATTAGTCCAAATATAACGCGATATTTTTCAACCATTTATTTTCCATTAAAAAATTGACTCGCACTAAATTCGNATAACGAAAAACCGGATAGATTTGAACCGCTACGATAAAACGATAAGGTTTGAAATAGTTAAGCTAATTTTTTAATATAATAATAGAAACCTTTCATGGCACGACCAAAGAAATACGCCACTGTGGAGGAACGTAAAGCTGCCGCTGCTTTAAACATTCCTCATAGGAATCTGTAATACTGCTAAAACGCCCACTAGGGGGCGTCCCGGGCTACTAGTTTACCTATAGAGAAGAGATACTGTAGAGAAATCCAGTTGCTAGTTTGCTTTGTGAATTAATGGCAAAAAACACAAAAGCAAACATTAAAACCAAACAATTGCTGGATTAAATTAGGCTAAATTGCTATTACTACTATTAATTAAATGCTAATTTAGCACTAGAGCCACGTGTTAAGTGACATTTCCCTTGCTAAATTTAGCAAGAGAAAAGCAAACATTGTTAAAAACAGTCCTTATGGCCTTCTCTTAGAATTATGTTAGAGCAAGAATGTTTAAATTCAGTTCATTTCCTGGTCATTTATTTTACAGTAAAGCATGAAGCATTGAAAGAAAATGAATGTGTGCCAAACTAACTTTTAATCCCCTGCACATTCTTTTTGTTTCTGAAGATCCAATTTTATATAAGCTTCTACCTCTCAAAATTTTTATTATGCAGACTTGTAGATGGTTATTATGCATAATATATATATGAGGTGTTGGAAAGAATAAAATCCATTACTACTGACTAAGATTGAGACTAATTTTAATGTATAAGTTTGTAGGACATAACAAAACTTTGTCAGAATAAGCACAAGCTAAAAGATATTAGTGATATTTTTTAATAAAAAATTGACTAAAATATACAAGGAAGTAGGAAGAAAATTTTATTTTACTTTTAAATATAATCGATGTACAAGTTACTCAGGAATAATGAGGACAATGCCAACAAGTCACAGATGGAATCGCATATCTTGGCACCTCTGTTCTAGACAGGAGGAGGAGGAAAAAAAATCCCAATGCTATAATTAAGATTGGCAATAAATTTACTACTAACTGGAATGTCTTTGATCTAATTTAGGCCAAAAATGTCCCGTATAAAAAAAAAACTACTATAATTAAGGTCGATGATGACTTTTCTCATCAATCAACTGGGTTTATGCTGTGTTCTAGTAGTATGCAGTGAAATTGGGATGTAAACATGCAAAAAAAATTTTTGATTATAATTATAACAAGTAGAAAAATAGTAATACTGGTGGTATATATACTGTACAATATCTACGCTTGTATCTAAAGTCACAACTCACCTATTTGTATCATGAAACATTTTTACTCAGTCAATTTTACACAGTGGCCACCAAAATCAAATGAATATATTCAGAGTTGGCCTCACAACCATTCTATAGTCTGTGTGGTGTGCAAAATTTTGTGTACAGGATCAATCCTATGAGCAGTGTTAATATTTCAGTATGATTTTTATGAATTTCTGTATATATAAATTTTATAATGCAAGAGGTTTTTAAATTAAGTTTTATTACTTATTGAATGGGTAAATAAAAATAAATTTATAGAAACATTTCAGAAGCAGGAACTTTATACAATAACTAATTTATGCTTACAATACAACTTCCAGCATATTAAGTATTCAATCATAAACATTTTTGGGTTTCTTCAGAGGCTCTCTTTAGCTGAAACAATTAAATTAAATTAAAACAATTTCTAAGTAGATATTTCGACATAATGTAGTATCAATGTAGTCATGTTTCTTGAACCAAAGAACATCAGTATCGCTCCAGATAAGATGTCTAATCCACTTTACTTTCATCTTTCACACACTAGCAAGACTTCCATATTTAAACTGATTATGACTTACAATTGGCTAAGCACATACAATTGCAGGACATTTATAGATAAAATCTAAAAGGGTACAAGATACAGACCATATAAATGCATTGATATGGATATATTATTAAATTCTCATTCCTTATAATCATTTTACAGCTACACTTTTATATTTTATATAATTTTTAAATTTTCTTGTTTTTAATGTTCTTGAATAGTTTCGTAAAAGGAAATTACAAAAAATTAGATAAGCCTTTCATTGTTCTATAGTAACTTTAGATATATTCTACTCAAGTACATTATGAAAAATTTGTGTGATATTAGCTAGTTTAAGTTGAATTTGTAAAGTTCTTACTTGCTAAATTAAACAATTTGCTGGATTTTTATATGACTATTTCAAGTCTAATTAAAATGTTCTTTTTAAAATATTTTCCAATATTCTTAATTAAGTCTGGAAAAATCTTAAAATTGTCTAGGAAAACCTGGAATTCTCACAGAAATTATTTTGAGATTGAGTAGACACCGTGATTTACTGTTTAATTCTTCTTCTTCTGGCATTATGGGCCTCGGAGATCCTTAGCTGCAGTCACAATCTTTCTCCATCTTGTTCGGTCTATAGACTGCCTCTGACAATCTTCAATTCCGAGGTCTTGAAGATCTTCGGTGACCCCATCTATCCATTTTTTTCTGGGACAGCCTCTTGGCCTCTTCCCTTTCCCCTCATAGTGAAGCCCTCGTGAAGCTGTTGCCATTATAGGAATGCCTTATGATATGGCTTAGCCACTGTAATCTTCTGGCTTTAATCACTTGTGTAATCATGGGCTTGCTGTAGGTTATCTTCAGTTCCTGGTTTGTTCTTTTTCTCCATATTGGTTCTCCGTTGACCATGATACCATTTTCCTCATAGTCTTTAACAGGTCCGAAGATTTTCTTTGGTATTTTGTTTTAGAATCTCTGTAGTTGTAGTTCCTCTTGTTTTGTCATTGGCCATGTTTCACATCCATACAGAATCACAGGTCTAATCAGTGACTCATATACAGTTAGCTTCATCCTTTTACTAAGTAGTATGCTTTTTAGTATGTTTGTGAGCCTGAAGTGCATTTTGTTTCCCTGTAGTAAGCAAGTCCCCATCTCTTTCTTGATGTCATTGTTTCTGTTTGTCAGTCCCCAAGTACTTGAAGGATTCTGTAGAGCTGAATGTCATATTTTCTATGGTTACATGTTCTTTGTGGGATTCTTCCTTTTTAGAAATAACCATGTATTTAGTCTAATCTTCATTGATGATCAGACCCGTGCTCTTGGCAGCTGTTGCTAATTTTGATGATAATCTTGTCACCTCCTCTTGAGATGCTCCAATTATGACAATGTCATCTGCATATGTTAGTAGTGACAGTTTGTCTCTTGAGTCATTTTCCCTTTTATTGTCTATCTCCTGGGCCATTCTGACAACTTTTTCTAGAAGCAATGTTAAAGAGAAGAGGAGACAGGGCATGTTGTTTCAGTCCTGTTTTGCTCTGAAAGCTGTCCGACCTTGTGGCGTGGTTTTTACTGTATACCATACTTCATTCATGCAAATTTCCACAATTCTGGAGAGTTTGTCTGGTATCTCAAACTCCTTCATGGTCTTCCACACTGATTGCCTGTGAATGCTGTCATATGCCTTTTAAAAATCAATGAAAAACAGGTGTGTGTCGACATTGTGTATTCCCAGTTCTTCTTAAGAACCTGTCTTAATGCAAAGATTGGTTGTGGCTCTGTTTTTTCGGAAACCAGTTTGATATTCACCCATGATTCCCTCCACATATGGAGTCAATCTCCTCATAACTAGAGATGACAGGATCTTGTATGTCACTTGGAGTAGGTAGATCCCTCTGTAGTTTTTACACTCCATTTTATTTCCTTCCTTATGTATTGGGATTTTGCCTGCTTCCTTCCATTCCATTGTCATTCTTTTCTGTCTCCAGATCTGCGGAATCAGATTATGGACTGTCTTTGAAAGTTGCTGTCCACCATATTTGATGAGCTCTGGTTTGATATTGTCAGTCCCTGCTGCTTTGTGATTATGTATATTTTGTATGATGACCTGAACTTCACTCTGAGTGGGTTCTTTAACTTCTGGTTGAACAGTGTGTTTTGGGAGGAATGTGACTGGAGTCATGGGGTCTGGACAATTCAGAAGATCCTGGAAATATTCTTTCCATCTTTTGGAAATATTCTTTCCATCTTTTGGAAAAATCTTTTGTTTAATGAGTGTATGATCTTGGAGGTAATGGATGATCGCCGTCAGTTAGACGAAACCTGGCCGTCTTTCTCCATCCATTTACATCTCCACAAAGACTGTCTTTATCAGAAGGCTGTAAACGTGAATTAGTTAAGTCCACGACTACGTTTTAAACTAAAACAACATTTATTTACAACAATCCTCGAGTACACTTGAAAGAGAGCTACACGTGCTCATGGCAGTGATCACCCGACAAGAAGAAGAAGCAACAATACCCAGAATCCACTCTGGGAAAAACCCTGTCCCCATTTTTCCATCAGGGATTCACGGAAAACTTGTAGAGGAGTGGCGCCATCTCACCAGTCCGTGATTTGTCGCCGCAATCTATTTGGTTCCTATGAGTTTTGCCATCTGGGGATATCCATGTTTGTTTGTGAATGTTTTTTCTAGGGAAATTAGTACTATGGATTTTCATATCTCTAGTGCTGGCTAAGTTAATAAGTCGCTCTCCATTATCATTGGTTGTCTCATGGGGGCTCTCCATTCCTATGGTGGGTTGGAAGCACCATTCTTTGCCTGTTTTAGCATTAAGGTTCCCAAGAAGCATCACTATGTCAAGCCATTGTGTTCTCCAGCTCCTCAAAGAATTCATCTTTGTTTCTTCTATCGCTAACTTATGTGGGAGCGTGGGTGTTAACCAGTGTGATATTGAACCATCAGCCTCTCATTCTGAGCTTGGAAATCCTCGCAGAAATGCATTCAAATGCCAAGATCGTGTCTCATATATGCTTAGCTACAATGAAACCAGTACCTAGTTCATGTCTAGTACTTCCTCCATATAAGATCATCATGTTCTCCAATGTGATTATGTCATCCTCCTCCCACCATATTTCTTGGATGGCTGTGATATCCATCTTATATCTCTGTAGTTCTCCTATTACCTCCTTAAGTATTCATGCTCTATAAAGGCTTCTTACGTTCCAAGTTCCTATGTTCAGTCTGTTTTTCCAGTTCCATTGTCGATTCCTTTAAAGGCTGTCTGCTTGCTTTCTTGTGACTGTTTTGTAACCATTCTATTTTTTTATATGGTGGGGTTGTTAGCTCCATGCAATAACCCCCAACCTGGAGGACCTATGTTATAATATTTATGAAAATCTTTTTAGATTTATAACGTTTGTTTGCTGAATCTTATGTTTGAATCTTACAAATGTCTGTTCAAATGTATGTTCAAATCATCTTCATCTCACTGTTTATTAATATAATATACAGCGTGTGATCGGTTAATGGACAAATCGGATAATGAACACTTTTGCGAAAGATTTTTATCTTTGGATGACAAATACCTCACAGAATAAACACAAGAAGTGACATAAAATAATGAATACTGATTGGTCTTCCCTTGTCTTCAGGCAACAATTCAGAACTTTTTGGAGCGCAGAAGACGTTGACATCGACGCTCAACCCGGTTATATACTGATTGGATAGTATTCTCCAAATTTTGAAACTCTCCCTTGTTTCTGTCAGAAAAATAAAAAGCTGAAATTACAAGTGTTTTATAGTATTTGCAAGACTGTCAGGCAAGCACTCATTAAGTTTTGCATCAGTTTTGCAAGATGAGAGTATAATAGGAAAGATAGAGTGAGCTGATGTCTGTTGTTGCTGGGCAATATGGCTTGAACAGGTCTACAGAGTAGGCCACAGTTCAATCTTATCTAAGAAAGATACAGTATAATCGAGAAGATGGAAGATTTATTTTTTGGGGTCTCCAGAATGAATTAATCAAATTCTCATAAAAACCTATGGTAAATCGATAATCGGTTAACAAACGATTCGGATAGTGAATAAAGTCTTGGATGGATTATGTTCGTTAATTGATCACCCACTCTATTAATATATATGTTGTTATAATCTTAGCCAAAAGAGCACCATATAATGCTCCACTTTCTAAGATCATATTTTGAGTGCTGATTTGGGTATTACTATGTTTAATTTTGAAAAATCTTAATATATTTATTTTTTATAGCTACCTATGGAATTGGAATCTTACTGGATTCAACACATATTGATGCTGATTATTCCTTTCTATCTTCTACGTACTGGAATGAATGGTAAAAACAATTTGCTTAATTAATGTATTACTTATATCCAATTATATAATTCTTTATAATTACATGTTGCATAGTGAACTGGAAAGAATTTGAGGGACAAGTTCTATAAATGAATTTATTAGCTTGAAAAATATGAGAATAATTAATCAAAACAACATCTAGAACAGAAATTTTAAAATAAGAAAGCAAAAAATATTGAAATAATCATCATTTGATCTTTTGTTTATATGAATTCAGACATTTCTTTTATTCAATTTATGTGCCTGATAGCATAGAGTAGATATGCTGTTTAATCAAGAATTATTTCTCATGTACAGTGGTACCTCGTACTTTGAACACTTGAAAGTTTGAACACTAAATTCCACAAAAATTTGCCTCAGAGTTTCAATGGTGCATGCAGTGAAAAATATGCTTGAAGCATAAATGTTGTCTTTTGTGTGCCCGAGTCTTCTCTTGCTCTACATTACACTTGTACGTTCTCAGTCCTTTCTTTTGTTTTATTTTTGGTGTTTATGTGTTGTTTGTTGATTTTTCACAATTTTTTTTCATTGGCAACTTTAGGGCAGCCTGTGTTAGGGCAGAACTTTTTAAACCAATTTGACATATTCAAAATTTAGGACCATCTTTCCTATACACTTTAGGAACTTTTTTACTGTTTCTACAGCATTGTGTCCTTTTCGAAACTAATAAAATACAATATGCCTGATATGCTTATCTGAAGACATTTTGACTTGATCTTGTAAAAACAAAATATTAAGTAAAAAGTATAAAATAAACTTCTGAACAAAGAATACAATTTTACATTATCAATAATGTGTTAAATTTTACAACAGTTATAATTAAATCACACATCTATGTTAAGTAAGGACAGCTGTTTTAAAAAATACATAAAAACATTTTATTCAATTCAATATAACCCCAAATTATTAACTAGAGATTCAAGAAGCGTGTGGAAGCAACAAAACCTGAAAGGAAGGTTGTAGTCGAGGCCATCCATACACTGGAGCATGTACCTCTCCCCTCTTTGTTCAGGTTGCCTTTTTTTCCTAATCCCCAAGGGGACCTCAAATTCTATTATCAACAAACAGAAAATTCATGACTTACAGCCCATTCTGCAAATATAAAAAACTAATGAACAACATTTGATCATTGCCCCATACAAGTTCATCTTATTTCGACTAAAACTTGGCCTTGATTGTAACCAGTGCCACCTTGTGCGATCCTATGTTGAATCATAGTTTGAAGCTTCTTGCATAATTGTATGATGCCATTTTTTACAGCTTGTGATGCCCTTTTTGTATAATTTGCAGATGTTACTGGTTGTAGTATTGGTGGTTGAGATGAAAAAAAGTAATGTATTGTAAAGCATGAAAGCAGTTGAGTTCCCTGGGCTATAGGTTGTTAAGTTTAAATATTAATAATTATAAATTTGCTAAAATAAAGCACAAAAAAGTGACAAGGAAATAAGATTTGGTTGAAGATAACACTTTCCTTCAACTGACTTCTCTTCTGGGATATGTGACTCACCCAANAAATATATAGCTGTTTAATTAGAAAATACAATTAAAAAGTTGGAGAAGCAATAGCAAATGTGCATAGTAAGCCAAATGCTGTTTTGTTTTTTCAATATAACATATTGTAAGGGACATGGGGGTCAGGGAATTTGTACAAAGTTGGTCAGAAGAAATCAGAGAAAGTCATGGAATTTAAAACAAAAATTTGAGTAAGAATCCTGTTTATTACTATGGTAACACAGAATGAAATTCTATTATTGTAACTTTGATAATTAGTTAGATATATGATAGAATATTTCGTATTAAATTGAATGTTTTTAAATAAATATCAACTAAATAAATGTAATCAATATTTATATAGAACAAATAACTCTTCTAAAGATGTGATTGTTTATTACTGTACCCATCTAACCAATGAACTTTATTTTTCAATTATATGATATAATTGTCTTTAGATCTCTTGAAAGCATTTGATATGGTGAATAACTAATTAGGCGTTTGCGTCAATGCAATTCAATAAACTGATGTAACTTAACCGGTTTTTCAAGACTCCTAATCTTTCAACTCAAAAAAGTCTTGAAAAACCAGTTAAGTTGCATAATCAGTTTACTGAATTGCATTGATATAAATACCTAAATACAGTAGAGTCTCAAACTTGGCCTAATGTGGACCGAAGGGTGGCCGAGTTTGTGAAAATGCCGGGTTATCGGGAATGGGGTTAAAAAAAATAAGTATGAGTGTTTCCTCAGAAAATACTGTACTGTACTTGTATATATTGCTTACTTGAGAATACAACAGAGAATAAACTGCCCAAATACCCTTAAACAAAGGAAAAGTACGTCCTTTATGAAGGCATAGAGCCTTTACTACATGAAAATGAAAATTAATGAATACACTGTGTACAGTAATTTACCCGATAAGACAGACCTCAGAAAAATACTTTGAGGCATAAAGCTGTCTATAATGAAAATTAATTAACTAAGGATTTTTTTTCCCTGCCAGGGTGTGGCCGAGTTATCCGGACTGCCGGGTTATTGAGTGCCAAGTTTTTGAGACTCTACTGTATTGGTAATCCCAAAGAAGCAAAAATATTAACTAAATTGAATTAGTACAAAAGGAAAGATATTTATTTAGTTAAAGAATTATTTTGAAAAAAAAAAAAAATAGTGTAAAAGTTAATAATAATTATTCAATGTCAAATGATTGCCAGATTAAATTGTGCTATTTTACCGCTATTATTTTTAATTAAATTCTAAATCAGTGGGAGCACATGTAGAATTTAATTAAATGGTGCTGGTGGCAACGCGTCCGCATGGTAAGCGGGAGTTGTAGGTTCGGGTCTGACTCCAGGCCGATTCTTTTCTTCCATACTATTCTAAATTATTTATTAATGTTAATTTAATTTGAATTATTAAATTTAATAAGATATGGCACTCAATATATCACTAGTACCAAATTATTTAAAATTTGATTAAAAACAATAGAGGTGAAGTAGCCCGATTTTAATCCAGCAATTATAAAACAGCAACTGCGCACTGGGTTGTGTAAAAATAAATAAGACCTACTTGAACCTTTAACCGATGTGTATAGAAATTAATCTTTCCAATACGAACGTTTTCTTAGCCCCTTCTGGGCTCTTCTTCAGGTATAGCTGGATCGAACATCAAACGAAAAAATTTGAATACATCTGAACGCTGCTGAGTTTGAATCGCATGGTTCGTTCATTTATTTCGTCACGTGATAAAGTTTGAAAGTGTTCGAAGATAACGATAAATGTCCATATTCAAGAGAAAGATATTATTAGGATATTTAAAAAAATGTGCCATTGATACACAATTATCCAATAATGTTCTCACATGTTCCCCAGTACCTTTTATTTTATTTTATTTTTTAACACTTAATAAATAGTATACCGTTGTTACTCCGTATGTAGTGCGTTTTGCCATGCCTTGGAAAGGCTGATTTCGTCTCTTGAATTAATACATGTGGATGTGTCGTATGCCTTAAAAATTTCCATCTCTTCCAACCACTTTAGGTGATGAATATGGGGTGTGGTGACAATTACACGCGCTCTATTGAAGTGCGATTCAAACTCAGCAGCGTTCAGATGTATTCAAATTTTTTTGTTTGATGTTCGATCCAGCTATATCTGAAGAAGAGCCCAGAAGGGGTTAAGAAAATGTTCGTATTGGAAAGATTAACTTCTATACACATCGGTTAAAGGTTCAAGTAGGTCTTATTTATAATCCAGCAATTGTTTGGCATATTGAAAAATGTTCCTCAAAGATCAGTCCTGTATATGATACTCAACAATATATATTCAAATTTATTTTTTTTACATTATAATTTTGACATTAGCTGATTCTTGTGTGTTTAAAATGATTTCTGATATGAATTCTTTGTTGTTGACAATTTGGAATTATTTTATTCCAATCAAATTACAAGTAAATTATTTAAAAACTAAATACATTTTATACAAGAATAAAAACAAGTCCATATCTAACTGGAAAATATTGTTATATAACTAAATGGAAATAGAATTAGTAGGAGTGATACTACTTCACAATGTTTTGGAATTATTTGATAAAAATTTAACCTGAACTACACCGATGACAATAGAAGGAAATTAGCTGTTAGACATATTTTAGAATGCACACTATTCTAGCAAATTTAGATTAATTTTCACGCTTTCAGAAGNGTCATGTAAACTCAAATCACTCATTAGTTCAAGTTCCTATTTTACTTTAAATGTTTAGTAATTAATACATATTTTCTAATTACAGTGGAACCTCACTTAACGAGCATAATTCATTCCAGAGTCTTACTCGTAATGTGAAACAGTCATTAAGCGAAACAATTTTTTCCATATAAGTTAATGTAAAATATGATAATGCCTTCCATGCCAAAAAAAATACTCAAATATTTTATGTGTATAGTTTATTCAAAGAAAATTATACAATAAACATTGTTAAGGAGTGTGAATCATCTTCAGCTTTTCTTCTAGCACAAAGTGAATCAACCTAGAATGCAATTTTGATTTATAGAAAACAAAAAATTAATTACTTATAATTTAATAATTATAAATAATTAATTTTTTACTTATACATTTTTAAAATTTAATTTTGAATCTGTCATTAAATTTAATACAAGATAGCAGCATAACTGCCTACCTCTAGTCAAATTAATTAATTTCTAATATTTACATAGCCCAAGAATTATGGCATATCGTTTGATGTGTTTATTAAATAACAGACTATGTTTGTTGTTGATTATATGTAATATGTCTGAACATAAGTATGGAAAAATATGTGATCACAAGTGACACTAAGATGCGAGTGCAAAACTTAGACTGATGTAGCATGTGCAAAATCCAGGATTTCTTCTCTCCTAGCCACTCGTTATGCAAAATGTTGCTTGTTAAGCAAGTCATTTTTTGACAATTTATTTTGCTCATTAATCAAGATTCCATTGCATATTATTTAAAAT